CAAAATTATCTTTAGAAAAACTCCCTAGAGTGCAACCACAATTGTGCATGAAAATCACATCATTCAATTTTTACTAATAACACAATCCTGAATATCTTAAAAGGTACTATACAAACTCAATGCCCTCAAATTTAAAATCTCCTACTTTTGTTTCTGGCAGTACAACTTTCCCATTAATATTGAAAGCCATGACATATGAAGCAACCTTCCCTTCTACTTCCTCGGACTTCAAAGCCACAATTAACTTCTCCTTTGTACCAGGTATAAATTTGAAGCTGGAGAATCCATGGGTGTCAATCTTATCACCAACATGACTGACCTGTTGAAAAAGTAGATCAGAAATTTTGGTTAACATCATACTACCATAAACATCTACCAGTGTACAATTTGGCATTATGTATATCTTTGACTATATCTATATATAAAAAAATAATAATAATAATAAAAAAAATAAATAAATAAATAAAAAATAATAAAAAATAAAAAATAACAATAAAAAATGAAGTTAAATAAATAAACAAATAAATAAATAAATAAATAAATAAATAAATAAATAAATATATATATATATATATATATATATATATATTTAAGCCAAAAATATTTACCTTGATATTTTCAAATCCTTCAGTAGCTTGCAACATGATATTTGTGCCACGGTGTTCATCTTCCTTTTCATCGTACCGAGTTGTAGATGCTCGCCTCGGTAAGAAAACCCAACGCTGATGACCCTCTGACCACGAGCATGACTCATGAATCATATAACCTGATCATTCAAAAAGAAGTAAAGACTAAATCAAAAGTATGGCACAAATAAAACTAAATCAAAGTTATAAAGACGTCTTAACTAAAAACTGAAATTCAGCAAAATATAACAAATGTCTTAAGAAAAACATTAAATAAGCTTTGATTGGTCTTGCTTAACTGTTAATACATAAATGATGAAGTTATCTAAAACAAAACAGCCTTATCACTCACCTGGGAAAAAGATTCCTATGGCTTCTCTCAATTTTTCATAGTTCCGTGTCCAGTCATGGTGTTCAACAAACCCTCGTGTGGATATTGTCTTGACCCACTGAGGATTATGGTTAAGCAGTTCTCCTTGCGCAGTTGTCCACTCCTTGCCAAGGCCCCCAACTATAAGAGTCTCATCCTTCACTGTGGCCCATTCACTTTTAAATCCTAAAATTTAAAATAAGTTTTTTAATTTTTCACTTTTGATATATCTTTAATATATCTTAAAAAAAAATAGTTTCATATGCTGATAAAGTCTGTAACTGTAGTCAGATGTAAATCACTATGAAATATATTAACAGCTCCATGACATTTAACCCACTACTACTGGGGATGGCATGTTGCCCACTGAGATTTTAGTTTAGTAATTGGGTTTACATATAGATGGCTCCAACAGGGGCTTAGTCACCAAGGAATCAGTTAGTAGTTTTATATATTTCTCCTATTTTTCCTTTTTTTACATTTTCAGAAATATTCTTTTATCTCTTATTGCTATTGGCACCGCTAACCCATTGCCGTCGGGGATGGCATGTACGTACATGCCATGCCCACTGTGAGTCGACTTGTTCAATTGTTTTTACACATAGAAGGTTACACTTGTACTAAGTATTCAATGAGCCAATTACGAGTACTGCCTGTCTCACCCGTTCACCCTTTTCTTCGATTTACGAAAATATTTAACGTTATCCTAATTTGCTGTTAAAAATAACACCATCTATATTTATAGCACTAGTAAAAATACATTTTTTCCTGCCAATTCAAGGAAAGGTGAAATCAGGACTAGCAGAGCCATCTATGGACAGAGATATTTTACAAAAATATAAAAAAGGAGTACTGCATTTCCCCCTTTTTTGTTCATTTTCCCCAGCGGGAATGGGTTAATAACATTATTATAATTAAAATGCCAATAATGATGATAACAGTATAGATATTAACCCATTCATGATGGGGAAAATGAAAAAAAAAAAAAAAATGGGGAAAATGCTGAACTCACTTTTTATATTTTTTGTGAAATGTCTCTAAACATAGATGGCTCTGCCTTACCTGATTCCACCTTCCCTTGAATTGGCAGGAAAATGTGTTTTTAACTAGTGCTATGAATATCGGTGATGTTATAATTATAATTACTATAATGTTATAAAAAATAGTAATAGCAAAATAAGATAACGTAAAATATTTTCGTAAAAAAAAAAAAAAAAAAAGGGGGTAAACGGGCGAGACAGACAGTACTCGTAACTGGCTCATTGGTGATCTAGTACAAGTGTAGCCATCAATGTGTAAAAACAATTAAACAAATAAACTCACAATGGGCATATCACGTATCCGCCATGGATACGTGACGTGCTGTCGCGAATGAGTTAACACCATTAAATAAAAACACCTTTCCTAAAAACTCAAGGAATGGGGACATTAGATAAAGTAACACATGATAATGTGAATTAAGAAAAAAAATGACATGAACAAAAACAAGTATACAAAAAATACCTTTAGTATTTCTGCCATTGCCATCTGTTAAAACAACCCAAGGGATGACTTTATTCTCATGAAGATCAACTTCATAAATAATTCCTGTCCGATCATCCACTGCATAAAGCTTGCCATTGAAAACAATGAGCTCTGACAGTTCCATTCCTCTGCCTCCATAAGCCATGTTGGATTTGAGAGAAATAAGTTCCTTGTCCCATTCAACACTAACTTCCTCACTCTCTACGTTAACCTTAAGATGACCCTGAAAGAATTTGGGACAAAATGTAAAAAATTATTGAACTCATTAGCTAATTAAACATATCATTTAATCTCAAGATTTCGCCAAGGTAATACAATCATAAATGGTGATCAGTGAAAAGGCATAACACATATGCGAGAAATTACCTTTTTCAAGTAGCTAATCCATGTATTTTTTTCAGTTGGATGTTTAGAGTCTGTGTCTAAGTCTGTTACTACTGCTATTCTGTACTTAATATAACCTCTGTCACTGTAGACAGGCTGTGTTAAGGGATATGTACTGCAAAATAAAATTAAAAGAATATGAATACAGAAAACCATACATTTATAAATATATATATTCAAAATATAAAAGGTGATCTAAATTTCATCACTGCTATATCATTTCATTATATATACTATAAGAAAGGTATATATATCTACCTGTTGTAGAAGGTAAACCAGTTACGCTGATGATGGTGTCCATGACCATGCTCCTCACCATGACCCCAAATATCATTGGTAAGATTACTAGTACCAACTCGGGAAGAAGGCATGATCATGAACAGCACCAACAGGGACACCAGTCCAACAGCAGCTACCAGAGTTACAAACTTTGTCTGCAAAAGGAAGCAGTCTCAGTTTACTGGAATTATATATTCAGTGATTAACCCAATGACGCCAGGTGTACAAAACAAAAAAAAACTCTACGCTCTAGCAAACAAAGGCGGCGCGCCGACTTTGAGAGCGTGAGTAGGGGACATCAGCCCGAATCACTGGCTCGCTGCGCTTTGGTGCGCCGCCACGGCATACAGCTGCACACCAGCTTTCGAACGGTTTGTTTGCATGCCGATCAGCGTCACCCAGCACCAAGGGGTTAAATAAAAAAATTCTAAAATAAAAAAAATATTGTGATCTGCATGTACAAATATAGGATCACACTCAACATAAAATCTGATTATCTAGGTTATTTCAGTGTTGTAATTACTTTTCACCCAATGGCCATCTATAATATATAAGTACATGCTATGACCAATGTCATTTTTGTTTACTAATTGAGTTTACAAAGAGATGGCTTAATCATTAGTATGATCAGAAAGAATATTTTTTTATCACTTTACTTTCTTTTTTGTTACTAGTATTTTAACATTATAATAATCATAATGCCAAGAATAATAATAATAACAGTATCAGTATCAATAGCATTAGAAAACAAACTAAAAGATTGCTCTTTCCAAATAAACAAGCAGGTTCAAAATCCAGCTAATAAATATGCTAGAAAAGGTCACGTACCACTATGGAAAAGTATTGTGGCAAAAAGGGTAGAAATGAGTTAATGATTAGGACAAAATAGGGTAGATGTCAAAGACTGTAGAGTGCTGTTGGACAGAATGGTAGTGAAAAGGGTATAGAGGGGGGAGCAAATGGAGTATGGCAGGGATTTGTTAGGGGGAAGGGGTTAAGGGTATGTGGCAATTATATCAAATGGAGAGTATGCCTGAGGAAGGGGGAGTAACACTATGAGAAAAACTGCAAAAGAACCACTATGAAACCATCAAAGAGTAATAAGAGTAGAAATGGTAGTTGGAGAAGTAGGAAAAGAGTCTAGAGAATGAGATAAGTTAACAGGGGAAGGCAGTGAAATATCAAGAATAATGTTAGGACAGAAGAGATCAAGAGAGGGATATTGTTGTAACATAAGTGAGTTATATCACGTGAGCATCCAGGTGGGAGTGGTAATGATAATAATTTTTTTTTTTTTTTTTTTTTTTTTTTTTTTTTTTTTTTTTTTTTTTTTTGAATGAGAATAGGTGGAAGAGGAGGAGGACGGATATTGGCTAATACTTTGAACGGCCCAAGTTTAGGGAATTCTGATTGTCCTCAAGAGTTTCTGGAGGGGAGTTTGGTGGGGTGATCTGAGAAGTTTTTTTTTATGAGGAGAAGAGGGAATAGATGTCTATAGAGCAGAAGGAGAGGGGGGTATAGGAGAGGATGTGGTAGAAAAGAGAGAGAGAGAGAGAGAGAGAGAGAGAGAGAGAGAGAGAGAGAGAGAGAGAGAGAGAGAGAGAGAGAGAGAGAGAGAGAGAGAGAGAAGAGAGAGAGAGAGAGAGAGAGAGAGAGAGAGAGAGAGAGAGAGAGAGAGAGAGAGAGAGAGAGAGAGGAGAGAGAGAGAGAGAGAAAAAAAAAGAAGAAAGAAAGAGAGAGAGAGAGAGAGAGAGAGAGAGAGAGAGAGAGAGAGAGAGAGAGAGAGAGAGAGAGAGAGAAAATCCCAATTTTGAACTAGTACCTTTGCACACATAACACATACCTAGGCTAAAATATTCACCAGGAGGTCTAATGTGAACTTTATCTGAGGACTATAAATAGTCTCAAAATGAAATTTGCTATTGATTTTGTGTATCATTTTCTTCATTGTAAATTGCTATGGTTTATCAATATCATTCATTTTGCCCACAAAATATAATAAAGCCAATAAATAAATATAATTCAATACTATAACCTATACATTACAATCAGACTATTACTTAAGGGTAATGGATTAGTTAACTGTTGGATATGTGATGCAAACTGTATAATAACACTAGTTTGTTGAGTCACTGTTTTATCATTATTTATTATCATACAGATATATCATAAAAGCTAATACATATCATTAGGAAGTATCATGCAAGCCATATTTGATAAGCACAAATATGCTTGGTATCAAATCTATTCCCATTTTTGTCAGATTTTCTTTATAATTTTCACTATAATGCTTCGCCTTATCAATATTTGGTATAAAGACACCAAGTGGGCCCTCATATACACAGGGTAGTTTCTTCATACATGTAAGAGCATGAAGACATTCTTAACACAATTTGGCTCATGTTAACCCATGGCCACTAAGATATATAATTGTAGGAGTCATTCCTAATAATATCATACATGGTAAAAATACCAAAATAATAATAATAACATTCTGCTTACCTGCACATGAAGAGTTGAATTTCCAACTCTGTATGACAGAGGTGTTCTGCTAAACACCGCCTGCCTCATATCTAGTACCATGTTGCTATTGTCAATCATATCCTCTGGAGGATTGGAAGACATGAAGACAGACCATACAAGATTTTAGTTGAGTTGGATTCCTCAACACTCTTCTGTAAGGAATAACAAAAATAGAATAAGACAAAAGAAAATATGAATTCCTGTCACAGAAAAAGGACATATCAGAATCTGTAATATAATGAAATTCATCTGACAAAGAGGAAACATCTATGGCAAAAAAAGGAGGCTGAAACCTGGAGTTTCTTTAATTAATAGTAAATACAAAGTAGATATTCCAATAAGATATTCTACTTCCTGCGGAAATTAAAATCACAATATTTAGTCTGAAAAAAAAAAAAACATTTCTAATACAGTAAAGAATATATTTATGCACAGAAACACCTCACACAAGTGACAATATTATATATTCATATGTCATTATGTCTTTTACCTTGCTCAAAAAATTTGCATTTCAACTTGCTTAAAAATATATACAAATCCTTAATGTCAGGCTGTGAAGCTGAAGGATGAGAGTGAGGGTAGATTAATACAAGTGGTTACTTCCATGACTTCTGTTATCTTAATTTTGATGATTTCCAAGAATATGCATATAATAAACAAATTTTGGCCAGACACAAACAAGGCTCTAAAAGCTCTTGTTCATTAAGAAGTCAATAACTTTGCCTACCTGACCTTATCACTTTTTTTATTTTTTTTATTACTGTTATCACACTTACATATGATACATTATAATAATAACAATCATATCAACAACAACAATAACAACAACAACAACAACAATAATAACAATAACAATAACAATAACAATAATAATAACAATAATAATAATAATAATAATTCCTTTTTATCTTTCAAGGAATAGGGAAATCAAGATTGGTCATTAGGGCTACTGATAGACTCCTTGCCGGCTGAGCACATGTGAAGCCATCTGTATGTAACCAAATTCACAAAAAACTACAGGGGACAGAACACAAATCCAGGGCAGGCGGGTTAACTAACATGTACATTACTATTTGCATATTGCAATATTTTCTTCAAGATATAACTTTACTCTTCTCTATTTCTCCTTATAGGATTAACCATAATTTAAAAGGTGATTAAAATAGATCACATACAATATAATTACAAATTGTTATCAATGAACTCCTATTAATATCTAGTCTACTAACCAAATATAACAAAACTAATTGGCAGAATGAATTAGTAAGCACCATTTCCAAAATCTATATTTGTAATAATTTATGCTGTATCAACATGATAATAAATTGTTTGTTGAGCATATTATCTCTCCAAGCAATTAGCCCCTATGACCTGGATGATGTGACCATTATGTCATGAAAAAATTTGGTTTGAGGGGCAAGGGATGTGAACCTGCTATCATGGGAAGATTTGGCTATTCCACTATAAAACATAATAAGTTTCAAGGATAATTTTTCAGAATACCCTCGCATAACCATTTGCAATAATTTTGGTATGGACGGATTCCTTTTACTCTCTACTATGCAAATATAATGAAAAAATGCCATGGAAACCCTCCCATTACCAGCAATCAGTCAATGTATTGTCTAATGCCTGGGGCTGTGCCCCCTGCAATCCCCATGGGGGGCTGCTGCCCCCAACCCATGCTCAGGATAACAAAGAATCCTCTACGTATTCACAGCAGGGTAGGGCATACGACTGACAAGTAGAATAACAAGGCTGTCTGACACTCAATCCTGCCAAGAATGTGTGGAA